TCTCCATTTGTGCTGTATTTTATATCTTAGTAAAAACATACAAACCAGTAATGATTAAAAATCACACAGTGAACAAAGCATCTGAAATATGGAGGTTGTAGTTAGAATATGACAGAGCAGCTAAAAATCTTTTAAGACTTTGATATTTGTCACTCCTTTTCAACATGGAAAGGTTAAACTGTGGATTATAATAATGTAATTTTCCTTTTATAGGAGCTGTTATAGCCTGTTACTGTTAAGCTATATTATACCTATACAATTTAAACTTACCAATAAAAGATTATTTCATTTCTTGTCTTCAAAAGATGTTCCCCATTTTAAAAATTCACATTTTGGGAATATGTATGTTTTTAGTCCTGGTTCTCAGTGGGTGGACTTTCCTTAATTTTCCTAATTATTCTGGTTTATGCTGACTTTTCTGTCTTTTCTGTGTATAGAATATGATTTTTTGCCATCTCCCTTCTTTCCTTTACTGGTGTTTCAGAATTGCTATGTACCTCCTGGCTTGATTATCAATACATTAGAAAAGCAGGAAGTCTTTTAACTTTTTCAGTTTGTTTTAATGTAAATTGTAAGTAAGCTGCCCTGAATCATTTTCTAATTTTTATTTTTACAGTTTTATATTGTCATTTCCTTTTCTAGATCCAAGAAAACATGTCACGAGGAAATACAGTTTTTTAAAGTATGACTTCAAGCCACATATTCAAAATTAGGCATTTGAATACCTTTAAGAAGAAATTACTCTTACAATAGGTTTTTTAAAAAGCCTATTTTTTTTTTTTGCTTACACTACAAATTATTTGTTATGATTAAGCTACTTCCATTTAGCAGATAGTACTAATTCCAAGAGCCCACAGAATAGTTATATTCTCTCTCCTGCCTCAAAGACAAAAAATTATTTTGTAGCAAAGAGATACTATTTTTACCTAGGAATGTGGTTTTATGTTTCTGGCTTTAATTTCACAATTTTAAAACAAACTATTCGTGTCCTTTAACTCAGGATTTTTTTCTTTCTTTTCAAGAAAATAGCTTAGGTATTTTGCCTAGGATCAGAATGTATCAGATTGATACTCTTTAATCAGTGCACTTTTTAAAACCAAAGACTCACTTTGCAGTTGAAGTTATTTTTTCTTATTATTGTGATCTCGTATTTATTTAAGACGAACAGTTGTCATGTGAAAACTTTAGTTACAACAGTAGAAAATAGAACAGATCTAGCAAACATGACTTAAGTAAATTTTCATGCTAAAATAAGCTTATCTTTTCCAGATTGTTTGCCTACTACAGTTAGTTTTGCTTCAGAATATAAAAGTTGATGAACAAAGGGAGGGCTCGTTTGAGAAATGGAAAATGTTAGATTTATTCAAAAGTACTATTTTACTTATAGAGGGCATAGGAAGATAAATTTCATGGCATGAGTGTGTATGTGTGTGAGTGGAATTTGAAAATGTAACAGTAGTCTATAGTTTGGCTTACACAAGGCATAATTAGTATGTTTTTCATTGTGTTGTAGTCTATTTAGAGGATTATGCATTTATATAGGACTTTGTATTTGTTAAGAGGTAGGTGGGTTGTATTCGTAGTAGTAGGAAAGTTTTCCTAGCTGGGCACAGTGGCTTCATGCCTGCAATCCTAGCACTTTGGGATGCTTAAGAGAGAGGATTGCTTGACTCCAGGAGCTTAGTACCAGGCTGGGCAGTATGGTGAGACCATCTCTACAAAATATAAAATACAAAAATTAGCTGGGCATAATAGTGCATACCTGTGGTTCCAGCTACTCTGGAGACCAAGGTAGGAGGATTGTCTGAGCCTAAAGTAGACCAGCCTGGACAACGTGGTGAGACCCTGTCTTTACAAAAGTTTTTAAAAAATTAGCCAAGCATGGTGGTGCATGCCTGTGGTCCCAGCTCCTGGGCATGCTGAAGTAGAAGGATCGCTTGAGTCCAGAAGGTCAAGAGCCAAGGAACTTGAGGCTGCAGAGAGCCATGTTTGTGTCACTGCATTCAAGTTTTCCTTGCTGTAAGAATTAGAACAAGTATTTGTACTTCTGTAAATTTCAGTTTTTAATTAGTGTTTAATGCATCTTCAAATACGCCTTTAAATATTGATATTAATATTGTCTAGTATTCTGTTATACCGCTACAGTTTTTTCATTATTGTTAATAAGACTTCAGATTTTTTATTTGAAGTTGTTTTGTTGCATTTATTATGTTTAGAATATTGGATAGGTTTAGAAAGAAAACAAAGACATTAAATTTACAGTTGCAAGATGCTTGACCAGGCCTGGTGGCTCATGCCTGTAATCCCAGCACTTTGGGAGGCTGAGGCTGGTCGATCACCTGAGGTCAGGAGTTCGAGACCAGCCTGGGCAACCTGGTGAAACCCCATCTCTACTAAAAACAGAAAATCAGCCGGGTGTGGTGGTGGACGCCTGTAATTCCAGCTACTCAGGAGGCTGAGGCAGGAGAATTATTTGAACCCAGGAGGCAGAGGTTGCCGTGAGTGAGCCGAGATCGTACCGCTGCACTCCATCCTGAGCAACAAGAGTGAAACTTTGTCTCAAAAAAAAAAAAAAAAAAAGAAAAAAAAAAAAAAAAAAGATGTTCTACACAATAGAGTTAAGACTGCTAATTATGAAATCTGCTTTCATCTTTTGGCAGCTTTTGAGAAACTAGGATTAGAGCAGGGAAGTTCCATTTTTTTCCTCAACTTGGCACTGTGTCGCATAGAGGCTATTTTACATAAAATATTATATAATTTGGGATCCTCAGTTTGAAAAGTAGCTTTCATAGCAGCTCCTAATTTCTTTCCCTCTATATCTCCCAGTTCATGTGTACAGAAAGATTATGACTTTACATTATCTGTAACAAAACTTTCTGTCGAGCATTTATGTTTCACATTAGCTATCATATAATGAAATTATTTACAAGGTAATATTTATTAAAGGCATTTTATGTTACATATAAATAAGAGAACGGGGAAAGATCAACAAAAGCTTTACAGAAGAGATGGAACTGGTGTGGAGGAATGGGTAGCATGTGGATAGACTGAGGTTTGTGTTAGAAGATTGGGGGAGGGAGAGAGAGAGTGTGTGTGTGTGTAGAAAGTATTCTCACCTTTCTGAGAATGGGTGAGGACAGCTACGACAAAATATGGCCGAAGTAATCTCAGTGAACACTGAAACTATATGGTAACGTTTTGACTGGAAAATGAAGGGAGTTAAAAGATAAGATGGGGTAGAAAAAATAGGATCAGATTATGAAGCACTTGCAAGGTTAAGTACATGATTTTAGTTAACTTTGATCCAAAGAGTTTTTAAGTACTACTTGTGGTTTCTAAGCGAAAGGAGATGTAATAAATGTGATAATTTTGGAAAATTAGTTTAGTTGTAGTATTATGAATGTGATTGAAGATAAATGGAGCTTGGAGATAGAAAAAACAATTAGGAAACTTATAGTAATTCATAAGATTGAAAGCCTTGATTAAAGTCAATAGAAAGAGATAAACTTGGAGAATACTTTAAAGGAAGGTTCTTTTTAAAAACAGCCCCCACCTTTTTACAATTTTACAAGTTGAAGAAGAGTTTAAATATGGTTGCAAAATTTTAAGAACCAAAATTAAATAAATGGTGGTGGTAGTCATACAGGTGGGAAAGTTACAAAGGGAGCTATTTTGCAAGAAATCATGATGTTTATTTTCTTTTACATTGAATTTAATTGGTGGTTGGACATCCAGTTGACAGTTTTTTGTTAGAGAATTTGTTTACGGTCATTTCACTGTGGGAGGAAGCCCTCAGATAACACTGAGTTTTTAAATTATTATTATTTAGGAAATTCAGGCTATGTGACATATTCCCCAATCCAGAAGTAGAGTTGTTTAAGCATTTCTAAGAAGTTAGGAATTACTGCAAAATAGGATCGATAAATGTGTAAAAGTCCACCTATTTCCACTAAGTTTTACTAACTAATTGCTTGGCATTTTGTTAAGGATACATAGATGAGTAATAGTTCTTAGAGTTACTTACACTTAAATAGCCACGGTGCACTTAAAAATATATAGCAGTCGAATTCACCCATTAATGTTGTTGTTAGTAAATATAAGGTCATAATGATTGACCTTGGACTTACCTATTTTATTTTTTTTAACCTTATGTAGATTATAAAGCATTGTCTTTTCAAAGTATTTTTTCTGACAGTCTTAAAACTTTTCTTTCAAAATATATGATTGAAAATAAATTATTCTGCCATTTCTAAAATTCAAAGTTAAAGAATATTCCACAATACTACAGAGCTTTTGAGTTTCATATATTTTGGCCTGAATTATCCAGGCAACAGCCAAAATTCTTCCCTTATATTTATGGCTCGTGACAGTGTTGAATTTTCATATCATTATGAGAAACTCAGAGATCTTATGGATAAATCAGATTTTTCAGATTTGGGAAAAGTGAAAAAAACATTTTGAAAGAAATTTGGGTTGATTTGTTAATGACAAATTTGGGCTAACATGGCAGGAAAATATCCATGGAAATACCAGGTAAAGTTAATTGTTTGTTGCACCCTCATAAAAACTATTTTTGCTTATTCCTTTGTTAACATTTTTAAACAGTGAATTATGTTGATAAGCCCTTGTTTTATTCTTTACACTGGTAAATGTTAACCTTAAACACCAAAATTTTCCTTTGTTTTAATGATACCTTCCATGTCTGTGAGCTTACAGAACGTTAAAGAACTCTCTCTAGTCTATGGAGATATATGTATGTAATATATGTGTATCGTTAGAGAGAGACATATGTCTCCACAGAAATAGTGAATATTGAAAATATTTAAACTCAGTGTGTTTTGGGGGATGGTATGGAAAATGGAAGACATCTTTAATTTTCTGGTGTTTTAATAACTGGGACTTCTTAATAGTCTGTTTTGTTAATAAATTGGTTTTAAAGGCTGCTGGCAAGTCAAGCGGTAGCCATTAAATGAACCTCTACTGCTGACATTAATTTACAGGGGCCAACAGGACAAAACTCTACGACATGATAGCTGATCTGGGAGATGATGAGCTGCCCCACATCCCTTCAGGAATCATTAATCAGTCTAGGTCAGCCTCTACTAGAATGACTGATCATGAAGGTGCAAGAGCAGAGGAAGGTACAAAATTTAGCTACCATGTTTATTTACATTGCAGAAGACCTTAAATCCAGATCACATCTTAATATTGCAACTAGGCTACTGTTTAAAATGCTGATGATCATTTTATATGATCTTTAGAGAAGGTGTTGGGCAAGCTCTTGATATAATTGTTTAGGGATTTTGAAATTTCTGGCTTCTATTTCTTTATATTTTGTTTCTATTTTTAATGTGAGCAGGAGTTGTTTCCATCACAGGTAAATTCAGAGCACTTTCTTAAATGTAATTTTAACTACAGATCTAGTAACGGGAAAATAATAATTTACAAAAACAAACTTAATACATATGGAAAAACAACTCATTTTATCTTACTGCTTAAATTTAGCATTGTGCTTGAATTTTTTTTTTTTTCTCGAGCCAATCTCATTGTCACCCAGGCTGGAGTGCAGTGGCACGATCTTGGCTCACTGCAATCTCTGCCTCCTGGGTTCAGGTGAGTCTCCTGCCTCAGCCTCCCAAGTAGCTGGGACTACAGCCTCATGCTACCACGTCTGGCTAATTTTTTGTATCTTTAGTAGAGATGGAGTTTCACCACGTTAGGCTGGTCTCGAACTCCTGACCTCAAGTGATCTGCCTACCACAGCCTCCCACAGTGCTGGTATTACAGATGTGAGCTACAGTGCCCAACCTGGTACTTTAAATATATGTTACTTTAAAAAACATATGTATCTGTTGCCTAAATTAATCCTTTGAGAATAAGGCAGCAGCATCATTCTTTAACTTGGTAGCAAGTATATGCTGCCTAGTAATGAATTTTGTAAAATTTGCTTAAACCAGAAATGCGTAGGAAATGAAAGTACTACTTAAGCATTTTTTCCAAAATTGATTTTAGCCAAAGATATATAGATATACTTGAATCATGTATTACTCTAAGTCTAGATATTTATAAGTATTGAATCTGAATTTTTAACCAAAGATTATTGTGATATATGAGCTATAATAATTTAGCATATGCATTAAATTTCATTGATGTTAGTGCCTTTGCTGTATAAAGAGCATTTATTTGAAGCCACAGTCAAAAAATTTTAAATGTATCTTGTTCCCTTTTAAGATTTCCCTAGTGGCACATTTCCTTTCAGTTAAATAATTTTGCATTTTTTCCTTCTCATAATTTACCATTTAATTCACTCACCTTTTTTAAAGAAAAAAAAAAAAACCACTAAAATAATAAAATCATTCAAAGCAGAATGAATGAAAAATGAAAGTGCCTGTTAATTTATTCACATCTCATTTCCACTATTGAGATATATTGCTGTTTTACTTTAGAAGTATTTTCTAAAATACACATAGCAACTCCATTATTTTTTATTTTATGCATTTAGTGGTGATTTTGCTTCTTTCATTTTTGGTCTGCTTTGCCAAATATGCGTAGTACAAGTTGTTAAAATTTTTGTAATTAATGTACATTTAAACTGCAACTTTTGCAGTTTAAGTCAAAGCCATGTTAGCAGTGTGGGCCCTTTTAAATGTTTCAAACCAATGACATACAAGAAAAAGCCAGTCAAGGCACACACTGCACAAAAACCAACTTAGAGCTCTCTATGTATGTGTGTTTATGTGTTAATGTGTGTGTTTTAAAGAATGAATATAGGTCAGTGATCTGTTTCTTGATGCTGGGAAGAGGGTGAGGGGAGAAATTTAAGTGTGAACTTGATTACAGTTTTTAAAGGATTGATCTTACTGGAATTTGTTACTTAAAGAGATGTGAGTTTGGCTTCAAGCTAAGAAGGCAGCACTGGAGTACACAATTTTCTTATTTTCCATGGCAGCCCCCAACTCCCTTCTTTGCTTTTGAAGTCCATGTCATACCTCATTTTATAAAGAACAACTGTCTGTTTTCTAGGAGTAGTACTTCTACATTACAATCTTCTAGACTACTGCTACTAAAGACTTGAGACATACCATGTTGCCACTGTTATAAGTGGAATCTGTTACCTGGGCTAAGTTCTTTAGGTTTAATAAAATTGGAGGAGAAAGAGTTCAGTATGAGAGCTACAGGCTTCCTTGGTCATAAGTGTCCATCAAAAGAAAGATTAGTTACAGAAGTCTGAAAAAAGCCTTGTATTTCATAGCCCCATTATGCTAGTATTGTTCGATTACTTGACGAAATCTCTTAGGCCTCCTAATAAAATGTGTTAAAATTTCCATCATTAAATTAAAAACTAAACAAGGCATACTAGCTTATGCCTGCAATTGTAGCACTTTGGGAGCCCAAGGCAGGAGGATCACTTGAGCCCTGGACTTCAAGACCAGCCTGGGCAGCATAGCAAAACCCTGTCTCTATTAGAAAAAAAAAGAAATTAAAACTACTTCTTTTAATAATTATATTTTTCTTTTAACTACTAATGATATTTTTGTGCTGTGGGTAATTATATTACCATTAACGAAATGAATTTTTAGGATAGAAATTAATTTCCTTGCAGGGAAATAAGGGCAAACAAATGAGTATCTTCTGTGATTACCATATGCCACACTAATGGATAATATGGAAAGCAGAGGTAATAGTATAAAAGATTTTTTGCACATATATGTGTAAATAAATGCTGAATAAGCAGAATAGCTCGCTATATCTACTTAAGTATATGTCATAAAATATATGTGTGTGTATAGAGAAAAATGACAGAAATGTAGTAAAATGATTAATTACAAATGAGTATAATACTAATTTTTTGTCAAGTACAATTAATCCATAACTCTAGTAAAACTAATGTTGTCCAGACACTTCCCTTCACATGTTTCTAAATTGGTCAGTGGCTGATCAGAGATAGTCCTGCAAAATAATTTGTTATGTTAAAGTTATTTTATTGGGCTTTTGAGATTTGTGTCATTGAATGTTTGTATAATTGCGAGTGGGAGGAATTGTTGCATTTTGTTCCAAGTTTCCTTAGAAACAAATTATGAGTTTAAAGTAAAAATATTTTTGTCCTAGAGAGAAATGCTTGAGTAAATATTTTCTAATGACTTTTACATAATTGTCCTTAAACATAAGTTTAAATTAGTGATTTTATAGTTTTTAGCTGCTTCTGCTATTGCCAATAATGGCATACTAATAATTTGTAGGAAAAGATCAATGCTACAGATTATTCAGATTCAATAAGTGTCATCATTGAAAGATTAAATACTTCTTAATATCTCTATATATTTTGTGTCAGGTGCTTTCAGATTCATTCTAGATTAAGTACTGAATCAGAACTTCATTTTAGAACCCTATTTGAGTCAGATTATATAGCTTACTTTGATAGGATAAAATAACAAGATATTCTAAATAAAGATGAATTTTATCTTGCCTTAGTATATATGTGAATTGTGTCTTCTCAGGATTATTTTCAGTACTATTCGTGATACTGTCAAATTTCATTACACCTCTTATGTTTCCTGTAGCATATTTATATCATCATTTTTCATGGGAATTTTTAAAAAATTGATAATCAGCTTGATTTTTTGCATAATGTTTCCCTTTTAAATTTGCTCATGAATTTTAAATGTGTTTTGATATGTTGAGTTTTATAATGATTTGAGTATTTCTCCCTTGTTATCTTAATGTGAAAATTTTGCTTTCAAAGCATGTTTGAAATGATGTTGAAGACTGGTGCTTAAACTATGACTGTTACAACAAAATATTTAGATAATAGCCATACAGTTATGGCAGAGTTTAATTGGTCAATAGCATGTATAGAAAGGAAAACACATTTTAAATAATTGGAACTGCTAATATTAACATGAAAGGCTGTAATAATACACATGATATAGTCAAGAAAACTAAGAAGCTCCACCTGTTTGAAACGGCAAATCTAATCAGAAGTTAAAGCTCTTTGGTCAAGATAAGTTGCTTCAGTTTAGAATGTCATGATAACTAGAATGGTACATTAAAACAAAAATGGTAGCCAAAGCTTTAAAGCTGGAAGAGAGGCTGGGCACAGTGGCTCACACCTGTAATCCCAGCACTTTGGGAGGCCAAGGTGGGCGGATCTCTTTAGGTTAGGAGTTTAAGACCAGCCCGGCCAACATGGTGAAACCCCTTCTCTACTAAAAATAGAAAAATTAGCCGGGCGTGGTGGTAGACACCTGTAATCTTAGCTACTTGGGAGGCTGAGAAAGAATTCCTTGAACCCAGGAGCTGGAGGTTGCAGTGAGCCAAGATCATGCCACTGCACTCCAGCCTGAGCAACAGAGCAAGACACTGTCTCAGACAGACAAGCAAGCAAACAAACAAAAGCTAGAAGACATTCTGAAGACCATATGGATTAACCTTTTATAGAAAGAAACTGACATTGTTGGCAGAAGAACTTGTTTCTAGACCGTTGTTATTACTGAAGGAATCTGAACAATTAAAGCTTCATTCTAGTGAACTGATATACTGTATAGCAGACTGTAAACTATTTACATTTCAATGTTTGTATTAGTTTTTATCAGGGACTAGAATGCCTAGTACTTCTTTAGAAAGCAAAAGGACTGAGTAATAACCTATTATCATTTAAAAAATACTGTATTAACTACTTTGAGGTCCTTGAGGGTCGTGGTAGACGTTTCCCCCATGAATGGCAAAAATTTGATATTTAACTCCATTATTTAATCAAAATTTGTCCTATTTCTTATTTAACATGTAAACTATAATTGTATTGAAGCAATAAGAGATTTAGACAGACATTGCTTTTGTTCCCCACGTTCCACCCCAGAATAATATATCTAGTGCACATTTTTTTTGTGGACAGTTAATACACCGCAGTTCCATCACATTTATTTAGCACTGCTTAGTAACAGGATTTTTTGAGTGGAAGTGGGAAAATAAAAATTAATTATATTACTGAATATTGTAACTGTTAAGTGCTTAAATTTTCCCCACAATATTGTCTTGTACTGTATGATTTTTCAGCATTTAAGAAGCGGTTTTGTTCTTTATAGCTGAACCAATAACGTTTCCATCTGGAGGAGGCAAGTCATTTATTATGGGTTCTGATGATGTTTTGTTAAGTGTACTGGGCCTTGGAGACCTTGCAGACTTGACGGTAACAAATGATGCAGACTATAGTTATGATGTAAGTGCAGTTTTATTTTTAATTTTTTAATGATTTAATAGAAGGCTCCTTATTTTTTGGAATCACTTATAAACAGAATTAATATCAAGGTGCATGGAAAAGATAAGTTTGTGTCAATGTGTTGATTTGAAGTGACATGTAATTTTTCTTCTATAACTACTTTCTTTGTGGCATTTAAATTTTTCTTAGGTATTTTGGTGAATTAGCTAGAGGTTTGGAATGATTACTTTAATATATTGGTCAATAAATATATCTTGAGTAGTCAACTCTCAATTATTTCAAATTAAGCTATATTTTGGTGTTAACAAGAAAAAAGAAAAAAGCCTGATCATATATTTGCCTTCAGAATACTTCCTAAAAAGCATGTTTTATTTTTGAACTTTTATTTTCTTAAGGAAATATTTTAAAGTTTCTGAACGTTTTAAAGTTAGCTTGCATCATTTCCTGAATACTTAAATCCTTCATTAGAGGGATAGGGAGAGGATGGAAAGGATGGGGAGTCCAGCGTTAGAGGTGAAACTTGTCTTGGATTTAATTTTTTCTAGACATTTAATATTTCAATTGAGAGTTAACTATACTTGTTAGATCTTTATGTTAATTGCAGTTTTTCAGCAATTTTTTTCTTTTTATAATGAATTTCTTTTTCTACATTTTATACTTACGTTAGCATGCTTTTTAGAGACAGGCTTTGGTGGGCTGGATTATTCTCATATTTTTTTAAAGCATATAAGCAACTAAATTCCAGTAAACTTTTGACTGCTTTAGAAGTGATTTCACAGCCTATCTTTACAGATGGAGAATTGTGAAGGTTAAAAGATTAACCTCTGTCAATATCAAGAATTATGAAAATGGGATACAAAATGTTCTTAAAGGGTCTTTAGTTCAGACTTTCAGAAAATAGCTTAACTTGCTGCCTTTAAAAATTTCACATGCTAATACATTTTCTTAATGACTACTGTTAATACTGTACCGTTGGATATTTGTCATAACTTATGTAATTATTTTTCATGTAAACTATTACAGCAATGATAATTATTTTATTCCAATCTGACATTTAGTAGGAGCTTTGGGTTAGTTTGGTAGATAAAAACAGATTAAAGAACTCTTCATTTGATCTAGACTATTTGTAAGGCTAATGAAATTAGTATCTGAGTTGTTATTAAATGATAAAGATTTGTTAGAAAGTTTTAAAGGTACATTAAATTTCCACTGGATATTTTAGCCAGTTTTAAATATACGTGTTAAACACACCAAAAAGAACAAACACTCCACATGCCTGCCAGTTTACTACTTTTACCACTAAATATTGTGCTCTTTCCTTTTAGTTGCCTGCCAATAAAGATGCCTTTCGAAAGACATGGAATCCCAAGTATACACTACGTAGCCATTTTGATGGAGTACGGGCATTAGCTTTTCATCCTGTAGAACCTGTGCTGGTTACTGCTTCTGAGGACCATACCCTGAAACTTTGGAACCTGCAAAAAACAGTTCCTGCCAAAAAGCAAGTGTTTTAATGTTAGCCTGGTGTATTTCTTCCAATTTGGTAATATAAGTAATTATTCCTCTTATTGTTGCTTATCTTTAATGCACACATTTGATCTAATGACTATTTAATATCAACCAGTGATTTATAGTTATTTAATTGCTTTCTCTTTCCCTACCTTTTTTCCCCCTCTTTTAGGAGTGCCTCTTTAGATGTAGAGCCTATCTACACATTTAGGGCCCACATGTAAGTTTTACTGAATTGGCATTTAATTAACAATCATTGTTAAATATTATTTATCAGTTCTCAAACCTTGTAATTTTCTCAATGTTTGTTTTAGAAAAGACATATTACTTGAATACTAGCTATATAATAATTTTATTGGTGAGAATATGAATGTAATAGTAACATTCAGACCAGATGGCAGTAGTTCATGCCTATAATCCCAGGACTTTGGGAGGCTGAGGCAGGCAGATCACTTGAGTTTGAGATCAGCCTGGCAAACATGGTAAAACTCCATCTCTACCACAAAATACAAAAATTAGCTGGGCGTGGTGGCATGCGCCTGTGGTCTAAGCTACTTGGGATGCTAAGGCAGGAGAATCACTTAATCCCAGGAGGTGGAGGTTGCAGTGAACCAAGATCACCACCACCACTACACTTCAGCCTGGGTGGACGATAGAGTGAGACCCTGATTTAAAAAAAAAAAAAAAAAACACCCACCATTCAGATGTATATGTTCTCTTAAAACAGTTTTTAGATATAAATTCAGAGGTTGGGAGAATGGAGATTTGAGTTCCTTCTTAGAATTTATCAGTAACTTTTTTTCACTCTCTCTTTCTACAATAGTGGCCCTGTTCTGTCCTTAGCTATTAGTTCTAATGGAGAACAGTGTTTTAGTGGTGGTATTGATGCAACCATCCAATGGTGGAATATGCCGAGTCCCAATGTGGATCCGTATGATACATATGGTAAGTAAAAGGATCCAAATGCATTTTTTTTTTAAGTGAATGGAGCTGACAAAAGTGAATGCCTCAAATATAATTACAAGATTATTTAAACCTATGTCAGTTACCTCATTTAGTTCTTCAGTTTGCTAATAAATTGGTTATTAAAGAGAAAAGTTAGGAAATATCATGCCATGGTTATTTAAGCCTATGAATTGACACTTTCTCTGTTAAAAAAAAAAAAAAACTATATTAATTAAAATGTTGATTTAGATAGTAGTTACAAAAAGGAGAAGGAAACAAAATATAATCTAAATAAGAAAATTTTAAACTTAAGAAATAGTTTATATATTTCAAAAATACCAAGCAAAAGACAATAGAAACAACAGCAAGGGTGTAAATCATTACAACTTTTTGGAGCCAAAAAATTTTTTGTTATTCTTAGCTCATATCTACAAAAACATTTTTAATTTCAAAAAACAAACAAAAACCTCTTTTGACTTACAAATGGAGCTTTTAGAAATCTGTTCTACAGAAAAGACCTACCTGCACTTGTGTTCAAATATATTTGTAAGGACATTGTTAATAATTATAAAACATTAAAACAAAATGTCTGTGAACTCTGTTCTTTTTATTTAACACACGCTTTGTGTCCACATTAGCTAGGCATTGTGGTAAGTACTATGTCAAGAAATAAGATTTAGTCTAATGGAAAGTAGAGATATAAAACAAATAAGCAAGGCGATGGGATGTGTAGTTACAAATTGTGATAAATGATAAGACGATAGGGTTTTGCTTGTGAGGGTCATAAGATGGGAATGCCCCTGGAACGTAGAAATATCCCACCATGGGCGAAAGTTCCCGAAGACCTGAAAGATCCAGAAGTGTTCCAGGTCCAGACGTGGCTGCTGGAAGCCATGTTTGGCCGGGACGGATGTCGAATCCCTTACATCGAGCAGGTGAGCAAGGCCATGCTCGATCTGAAGGCTCTGGAGTCTCCAGATTTCACTGAGGTTGTGGTTTACAGCTCCTGTACATACAAGCTTCGGGCCAAGCGGATACCCCAGCCTATGGCTGAGTGGCACCGCCAGCAACCAGGAACGACGGATGCTCAAACTTGAGGAAGCCATGAATGCCTTCGAACTAAGCCCTTGGATGAACTGAACCAGCTTCTAACCAGGATGAAGGCCAGGATGTAGAGATTAGTTTGTGGCCAGAGCTGGAGTGATTTCTCCAGCTTGGTTTAAAACCTGTTCCAAGCCTGAGGAGTTGAGGGAAAATCATCTGTTTAGGTGTCTCTACCTTGGGTCTGAGTCTTGTTGTGAATATCTCTTTGATAGTTGCCAATAAAAGTTTTTCTTCCCCATTTTAAAAATTAAAGAAAAAACAACGATAGAGTACTGTAAGAGGGAGTAAAAGGCAGAACCTTCTCTAGAAGAATTAAGAAAGGTCTATCTAAAATTGTGACATTCAAGCCAAAATCTGAAGAATAAAAGCTACTTTCAGTAAAGAGTTTTAAGCCATGAAGTTATCTGATAAATGTAAGGTTTTTAAAAGGTGACTGTGTCTGGTGTGAGAAGAATAAATTGGGGGTGAGAAGAGTGGAAAGAGAAATACCATTTAGGAGGCTGCTGTCATACAATAGTCCAGTAAACTAGGTGACAGACAATATTGCCAAGGTTAGAGTGGTGGTAGCAGAGCAGTTAGAAGTGGTTTTAAGATATACACTGGGGAAGTGTGGTAGAATAGAAAGGATTTATTGATAAATTATGTTGAGTAGATAAAGTGATGAGTGAGTGACTCTTAATTTGGTTGTATGTGTTTTTTAATTAACTGCTTTATAAGAGATGTAATTTGCATATCACAAAATTCACCCTTTTAAAGCATACAGTTCAGGCTGGGCACAGTGGCCCACGCCTGTAATCCCACCACTTTGGGAGGCCGAGGTGGCGGGAGAATCACTTGAGGCCAGGACTTCGAGACCAGCCTGGGCAACACAGTAAGACCCGATGTCTACCAAAAATTTAAAAATCAGCCACATGTGGTGGCATGTGCCTATAGTCCCAGATGCTCAGAAGGCTGAGCTGGAAGGATCACTTGAGTATAGGAAGTCAAGGCTGTAGTGAGCTATGATGGTGCCAACCTGGGCAAAAGAGCGAGAACCCATCTCTCTTTCTTCCTTTTCTTTCCTTTTTCCCCTTTCTCTTTTCCCTTTCCCCTTTCCCCTCCTTTCGTTTCTTTTGAAAAGCAAGTTATATCTCAATAAAACATTTAATTAAAGAAAGAATTTTGTAAAAGTTACGATAATCGTTTTACTCCTAGTCATTTTTTTTGAAGTGCTTTTCTTTTTTTTTTTTTTTTTTTTTTTTTGAGACCGAGTTTCACTCATGTTACCCAGGCTGGAGTGCAGTGGCATAATCTCGGCTCACCGCAACCTCCGCCTCCTGGGTTCAGGCAATTCTCCTGCCTCAGCCTCCTTGAGTAGCTGGGATTACAGGCACGCACCACCATGCCCAGCTAATTTTTTGTATTTTTAGTAGAGACGGGTTTCACCATGTTGACCAGGATGGTCTCGATCTCTTGACCTCGTGATCCACCCGCCTCGGCCTCCCAAAGTGCTGGGATTACAGGCTTGAGCCACCACGCCCGACCTGAAGTGCTTTTCTTTTTTGAGACAGCGTCTCACTCTGTCTCCTAGGTTGGAGGGCAGAGGCGTGCTCTTGGCTTACCGCAACCTCTGCTGCCCAGACTCAAACCATACTCCTGAGTAGCTGGGACCACAGGTGTGAGCCACCACACCCCATTAATTTTTGTTTTTTTTTGTAGAAATGGTAGCCATGTAACCCAGGGTTCTCTCAAATTCCTGGGCTCAAGTAATCCTACAGCCTTGGCCTCCCAAAGTATTGGGATAACAGGCATGAGCCACAATGTGCAGCCACAAGACCCCATATCTTAAAAAAAAAGTTAATGATTAAAAATAAAGTCTACAGTTCAGTAGTTTTTACTGTGTTCACAAAGTTGTGCAGCCATCATCACTAATTTCAGAACATTTTCATTATCAGTTCTGAGTGTTTGACAAGAGTAACTGAGCATGTGATGGGAGCATTTATTGAAACGGGGGCTGTGAGGAGATTTAAGATGGTGAGTTCAGATTTTAGGCATGTTAAACGATAACAGTATCAAGTAGGTAATATACAAATATGGAGCCCAAAGAGATCTCAATTGAAGATAAAAACATGGAGAGTCTTCTCTACTGATGATACATTAAGCTGTAAGAATGTGTGATACAGAGAGAATGTATTGTTTAATGTAAGAAGAGAAGACAACCTGGAACTAAAGTCCTCAGTAACTGACACTGGAAAGGTGGCTAGAGCAAGAGAGCCAACAAAGGAAACTGAGGAGGTATGAGCCAAGAGACAGACGGAAGTGCAGGAGAGTGTGAAATCATGGAAGCACGCTAAAGAAGAAAGCATTTTGAAAAGAAAGAAGCAGTCTGTACTTTCAAATGTTGCTGAGAGGTCTAATAATGTGATAGAAAGTTTCCTTTTTATAAGTGACTAGCAAGTCACCCAGGTCTTGGCCACGTAGAGGTTAGACGCTGGAGCTAAGACTGAAGGATGAACGGACTATCCATATAGTCTTCATGTCAGGCTATATGGATAAAAAGCGATATAATAGGAGCAACAACAACAACAAAATGTTTTGTATCATTGAAGAAAAGTATTAAATTTGAGAGTAAAGGAATCGTCATTAGTCATCTTAGTAAGGATTGTTTTGGTGTGGTAATGGTATCAGAAACCACTGGAGTGATTTGAAGAGTAAACAGGAGGTAAAAAGCACATTTTTGCCACTTGGTAGAAGGGGTGGTAGGGTAGGATTAATGAAGATTTCTTGTTTATGAGATTCTGGAACAAGGTGTTTTTTTTTTTTTTTTCCCCCGCTATAGTAATGATCCCAAAGAGGAGAGTTTGTTTAGTAGAGAATCAGTAAACATAATACCAAGTTAGTGCCATCTGGTACTAACACATCTGGTGGAATTGGCCTTTGATAGGATGGAGAACAGATTCATTGCTTGTATCGGGAAGCTAGGAGGAGGTACCTTTAGACACTCCTAATCATTTATATATTAATTAGGTAGCAAGAAGATGGGGGATAAGAAACATAGAGCATTATTTGAATGCTGTATTTTCTCTGTGAAGTATGAGGCATAGTCATTCATGAGGAAGAGAGGTTGGGAGCTGTGAGAATTGTGGAGATGATAAGAACCATTCATGGAAAGTGGGAGGAGTTTACTAGAGAAACAGGATTGTCAGACAAATTATGCTCAATGTTACTAGCTGTCAAATGTCTTATCAGTTAAGGAACAGATAAATAAAATATGATATATCCATATGGTAGAATATTATTTGGCACTAAAAAAAATGTACTGATACATGCTCCAACATGGATAAACCTTGAAAACATGTTCATTGACGAGGAGGTCAAGGCTGCAGTGAACTGTGACTGTGCCACTGCACCCCAACCTGGGTGACAGAGCAAGACCCTATTTCCAAGTCTTGCTCTGTTGCCCAGGCTGGAGTGGAGTGGTACAATCTTGACTTACTACAGCCTCCACCTCCCAGGTTCAAGTGATTATCCTGCTTCAGCCTGCTGAGTAGCTGGGATTACAGGCGTGCACCACCATGCCCAACTAATTTTTGTATTGTTAGTAGAGATGGGGTTTTACTGTGTTGGTCAGGCTGGTCTTGAACTGACCTCATGATCCGCCCACCTCAGCCTCCCAAAGTGCTGGGATTACAGACGTGAGCCACTGCGCCCAGCCAAGACCCTGTTTCAAAAAGAAAGAAAGGAAACATACTCAGTTAAAGATCCCAGTCACAAAAGACCACATATTATATGATCCATTTATAGAAAATGTTGAGAATAGACACGTCTATAGAGACAGTATTAGTTGTTGCCTAGACTTATGGAAAGGTGGGGAGGAGGAAATGGGGGAAGCGACTAATGAGTGATGAAAGTTTCCTAAAATTGATTGTCATGATAATTATATAACTCTCTGAACAACGTACCAAAAATGATTGAATTACATACTTTAAATGAGTGAGTTGTATGGTATGTAAATTATTATCTCAAGAAAGCTGTTTTTTTTTTTTTTTTAAGCATATGTTTCTTTATTGAAAATTGTGAAAATACAGAAAAATGTTGATGGGAGGAGGGGATAAAAATAGGCCATAACTCTACTCTTAGATGTAGCCACTGTGTACACTTTGGTTTATCTTCTTATGGCCTTTATTTGTGTTCATAACACTCAGTTATATGGTAAGCTTTCTTTATCAAAGTATCTTTTAAACTTCTTTAACCTAATTTTTTGTTTGTTTTTTTCCCAGAGCCAAATGTTCTAGCTGGCACTTTAGTTGGTCATACAGATGCAGTTTGGGCTCTTGCTTATAGTGGCATAAAAAATCAATTACTGTCTTGTTCAGCAGATGGCACTGTTAGATTATGGAATCCACAAGAAAAATTGCCATGTATTTGCACTTACAATGGAGATAAAAGTAAGTAAATTTTGCATCTGTGAGAAAATTTTTTTTTTTTTTTCAATTTGGAATATATAAAGGGCAAAGTAATTGATTTATTTACTCCTCCAAAAAGATATATTGAAATAATTTTGTAAAATTTATTTTTTTCTTTTTCCTTTTACTCCTAGTCATTTTTTTACTCCTAGTCATTTTCTTAAGTGCTTTACAACTATATCCCACAGTGCAGTGCTTTTTTTTTTTTTTTTTTTTTTTACCTATTTTATATTCCAGTTTTTTAAAATGTAAAACTGCTTATATATAATAGTGCAGTAGACAAATAAGGATACTCTTAGGGACACCACCTGTTCCACACGACTACCCAACCCACAAAGTCTGAAGGGATCATAGTCTCAAGCATACCTATAAACCATGTGTTCCATGACCCTGAGCATCCTAGTTGAGCAGTCCAGCCATAATTATTGAACCTCTAACTGGAAAAGTGCAAATTGGGTTATTTTAATCATTTTAAGTATTTTCCTATTAAAAAAGGATTTAACCAGTTTACCTTTTGAAGACATTTACTGGTCTTATTTTCCAAGTCATTTTAAATTTTTTAAATTAAACCTTTTATTTGTATATAAAAATACATATTATTTTAAAACATTTTAGGTGAGTAGTATATGTATAATTTTGTGTCTCTTAGATACCTTAGTGATCCTACTAATTTTCAGTTATCCAAGCTTTAGAAGTAAGAATTCATTTAGGTATTTGTTTCTGGCTTCATCTAGATACTTAATTAGCTTGGCTCCATATTTCATTTAATTGTGCATTGATTTGGCTAGTTTAATTTAGTATGTTAAGGAGAGAAATTGCTACTCAGGCCATTTTAGGGGGAAGTACTGCATCAGCTGATTCCAGAGTCCAAGCCATTTTCATGAGTCCATAAATTTGACTTGTATTAGCTGCTTGATAAAAGCCTACAGAGATCTCTGACAGGTAAACCAGTCTCCCAAAACAGTTATGTGAGAATGCCAATTTATCATTTTACAGTAAGAAGTATAACTGGCAAGTTGGCCAAAAGACTAGGATTTTATTTAATCCTTTAGAAGAAAATGTGTAGTAAAACAAATAAGTTTTGCATGTATTTACTGTTTATGAACCCTGTAGATACATTTTTCTTATAATGTTAAATAAAATGCTATAAATAAAGTTTTTAAATGATTGAGGAAAAAATATTTCTTGATAACAGTATTTCAAGAATATTTCAATTCCTTTTTCTGATTAGAAAAGTAGAGATTTCAAAATTACTTTGTTTACATTGTCTGTCTTTGGGCTCATTTCAGAGCATGGAATACCTACATCAGTTGACTTCATAGGCTGTGATCCAGCTCATATGGTAACCTCTTTCAACACTGGTAGTGCAGTAATTTATGATTTGGAAACATCACAGTCATTGGTGATACTTTCATCACAGGTAGATTCTGGTAAGTGTTCATGGAGTTTGTTTGAAACCTTGAAAAGGATTATTACACAATAGAGGGTGATCTTTTAGCTAATTTTCATATTTTGACTACTTAAATTTAGGATGGCAAAATTGTTTCATAATGTTACAATTATTTCTGCTTTCTTCAAATTGTGCCTAAAAGCTTGGGTGGACATAAAAGAAAAGAGGAACGACTAGAGCAATATGAAGGTCAAAGTAGAGAAAATAACATAATGAACCTGATATACTCATAATTCAGCTTAAATACCTGTCTTTAAATGTCCAGGATTGTACATGCAGTATGTGGTGTGTGTTTTACAGTTTATTTAGATAGGATCACATAAGATTTATGTATTGCAGTTGGTTGATAGGTCTTTCAGTTCTCTCTTTATCCATGGATTCCCTTTCATCTCTTTTATATTCCTTTGTTTTAAATGAAGAAATTGGCTAGTTTGTCTTGTCAAGTTTCCCATAGTTTGGATTTTGCTAGTTGCATCCCTGTGTTATTTAACGTGCTTCTCTGTTTTCTGTGAATTAATTGTAGATCTAGAGACTTACTCAAATTCAGATTCACTGTTTTTTTTCCTCTTTTTAAAATTTTAAAATGTTTTTGGCAACTCTACTTCGTAAATAATTTGTGAGCTTTTATCAGAAGTAAGTATTTTCTGGTTGTTTATATTTTTGTGATGCTTTCAGTCTTGATTATTGCCTGGGTTCATTAATTCATTTTCTACTGAAAAATGATTTCCTAATTTTATCATTCCCTCTCCATTTATTAGCTAGATTATTCCTATAAAAAGGAACATCTCCTTATCAGTAATTTGGTTACCTTGGGGTTAGTGTGTATTAAGGAAAGGCAAGATAAATGATTGGGTTTTGGTTTTCACCTTTATTTACCAGTTTTCAAAATATTGAGGTGGTTTGCTAGCACCCTCTACAGGTGACCAGTTTGTCTTGGGTGTTGTTTTTGGTATCATGGTACTCTCTCATGGTTGTAAATGTATTTGATATGTTTGAATTCATTGCAGGTATAATTTTTATCGCTGCTCAGATCCTTTCATTTTGGCCAGTGGGGCTAATTCAGTGGGGCTCAGGTTGGCTCCTGAGTCCTTTTGCCATGACCCTGGTAGTTGTTGGTAGCTTACTGTTATGATATATGACAAGATGTTTTAGGTTCATCTTGTTCATTTTGTGCCCCCAGATCTGAAATCAGCTATTTATCTAAGGAGTTGTGGTTTCTTTGAGTGGGAAATGGCATTTAGAGACTGCAGTTGGGGTGCTAGGCTGTTGGGTTGATCCTCATGGTCTTCATGGCTCCTGCATTGTTCATTATATTAGGGTTTTTCAATGGACAGAGCTAGTAAATAAGCATTTTTTTAAAAGTAAAATACCTCCACTTCAAATTCAGAGTTATCTTGGTTCTCAACAGAATTGTTTCTCATTTGATTTATCCCACAGTATACACAGAGTCGTCTCAATAATAGTACCATTACCACCAAAAGACTGAATATTGATAATAAAACTTTGTACTTAGGGTATGTTCCATAGGGATATACAATCTAATTACTGTGCTTTAAAGTCACTTGGAATAGTTTCTTCCTTTGTAGCTGTCCCACCAGTTGGATATACTTAAGTTCGTTTGTTTAATTTTATTTTTGATTTTCATTAATTTGTTTTAGAAAAACAACTGTCGGTTGGGTGCATTGGCTCATACCTGTAATCCCACCACTTTGGGAGGCCAAGGCAGGAAGATAGCAGGAGGCTAGGAGTGGAGACCAGCCTGGTTGGCTGGGTGCAGTGGCTAACACCTGTAATCCCAGCGCTTTGGGAGGTTGAGGCGGGCGGATCACAAAGTCAGGAGATCGAGACTATCCTGGCTAACACGGTGAAACCCTGTCTCTTTTAAAAATACAAAAACTTAGCCAGTTGTGGTAGTGCATGCCTATAGTCCCAGCTACTCGGGTTGCCAAAGCAGTTGAATCACTTGAACTTGGGTTGTGGAGGTTGCAGTGAGCCGAAATTGCGCCACTACCCTCCAGCCCGGACAACAGAGCAAGACTCCGTCTCAAAAAAAAAAAAAAAAAAAAAAAGGTTTAAAAAATAAAATAGATCGAGACCAGCCTGGGCAACATAGTGAGACCGCATTTCTGCCAAAAACTTAAAAAATTAAGTGGGCATGTTGATATGTACCTGTAGTCCTAGTTTTGGAGACTGAGGCAGAAGAAGCACTTGAGCTCAGGAATTCAAGGTTACCGTGAGCTATGATTGCATCACTGCACTCCAACCTAGGTGACAGAGTGAGAGACCTTGTTTCTTAAAAAAAATTGTTTTATAATTATGTAAAATATTTACATGGTGCCATGGTCAGATCTTAAACCAAAATTACCTTCTAAGGTCTCTGTCCCAGTGTCTCCTCAAACTTATTTTTTTAAATGACCCTACATAGGTAACTATAACTGTGTGTGTGTGTGTGTAGATATATATTTTATGTGTTTAGGTATAATATATGAGTTGTGGTGCACATAGAGAATCATCTAAAGTCTATTAATATTGAAGATTTTTCTCTAATTTATTTGTTTTGATATTTCTCTGTTCTCCCTCATCTTTAATTAAAAAAAAAGTAACAGCTTACTGGTAAAGAAAAAAGTCTTATCTTTAAAGAGCATTAATTCAGTTCTTTGTTTTTTTTTTTTTTTTTTTTTTTGTGGTCAGTGTAGGTAGGATGGGGATTGTTCCTTATAAACGTATGACTAGCAGTTGTGAATGTTTTCCTTCTTTAAAGGCTTATAATTATTTTATGGCTGGGTGCAGTGGCTCCCGCCTGTAATCTCAGCACTTTGGGAGGCTGAGGTGGGTGGATCACAAGGTCAAGAGATTGAGACCATCCTGGCCAACATAGTGAAATCCCGTCTCTACTAAAAATACAAAAATTAGCTGGGCGTGGTGGTGCGCACCTGTAGTCCCAGCTACTTGGGAGGCTGAGGCAGGAGAATTGCTTGAACCCAGGAGGCAGAGGTTGCGGTGAGCCGAGATCGCGCCACTGCACTCCAGCTTGGCGCCTGGCGATGGAGCAAGACTCTGTCTTAAAAAATAAATAAAAATAAAAATTATTTTATGGACTCTTTATTAGAAGTAATAATTGTAGATATTTTAAAAATTCTAAACTACCTATAATAAAGGGCTGCATTAAAACACTGATCATTTTTTCTAAATTTGAGCCTAGTACAGTGTGTATTATAGGACATGATAATGTAAATACTTATTTTTTAAAAATCTGGAGTCCTTGTTCTCAGATTTTTTGTTTTATGCAAAAAGTTTGGTTTTTAATTATTTGTATATTTAAGCATGATTTAAAAAGCCATTTTCCAACTTCTTATTGAAGGTTTTAATTTTAACATATTGCCTTTATTTTTCAGGTTTACAATCTAATAATCATATCAACAGAGTAGTAAGTCATCCCACACTTCCTGTTACAATAACTGCTCATGAAGATAGACACATCAAATTTTTTGACAATAAAACGGGTAAGCAAATTGTTTTCTTTTCATGTTAGTAATACTGTAAATTTGAGATGATCAAAAATGCTATTTTATATAAGGTTTATTGAATTTTCAGATACAAGATTGCAAAATGAAACCATTTTAACTCAGAGTTTTGCTTTTTTTAATCTTGCATACTTATAATTTATGTTGTTTTATCCTTAACTAGACATAATACCTTGCCTAGCTAATATGATTTCTTCATGTCGTGCTAGTAAGTAGATCCTTCCATCTGAAATTTTTTCCTCATATTCTGTTATGAATTAAGTATGACGGAAGAGGTCTTGTTTTGGTGTTTGGCATTTCAGATGTATTTTTAAAACTATTTCTCAGTGGATCAAATGATGTTATAGTGCATAGTGTTTATTATCTTCCCTGTATTTCTTGTTGTAAGGAAATACACCAGTTGTATTGAAGTCAAATCAGATTTTAATTTAGCCGTAGATGTGTGATTGTTTTTGTTTGTTTTGGGCCTCTTTTATATCTAGTCATTACCTAGAATAGTATATCATATATTGCCTGTTCTCTTTCAGGAAAGGTCTGACAGCTAGAAAGGCTACTTTGAGGAGAGGCTAAAACAGGGTACTGAAGGACTTCTAAATAAGAAATGTAAATGTTAGTAGGAACACTGTTACAGGGTAACAAGTTATCAAGTAAGATAGTAACCCAGAATTATAGGTTTCTCTTTGAAGATTATATAGAAAATGGCAATACGTTTTAGTCTGTAGAGTCTTAACGATAAAACCCTTTTGTTCAAACAACACTTTCATGGACAGATTATTTTTAACAAATTGCAGACAAAATGAATATTTACAGGTCTACATTGTACACAGGACGTAAGATTCAAGTGGATGTTCTCTTTAAAAAAATATTTAAAAAAAAATTTTTTTTTTTATGGAGACAGGGACTCACTGTGTTGCCCAGGCTGTTCTTGGGCGGGGGGGAAAAACTGGACTCAAGCAGTCCTCCCATCTCAGCCTCCCAAAGTGTTGGGATTACAGGCATGAGCCACTGCGCCCGGCTGGTGTTCTCAATTTAACACTTTGTTTATTTATTTTTGAGACTGAGTTTCGCTCTTGTTGCCCAGGCTGGAGTGCAGTGGTGCAATCTCAGCTCACTGCAACCTCTGCCTCCTGGGTTCAAGGGATTATCCTGCCTCAGCCTCCTGAGTAGCTGGGATTACAGGCGCCTGCCACCACATCTAGCTAATTTTTGCATTTTTAGTAGAGATGGGCTTTCACCGTGTTGGCCAGGCTGGTCTTGAACCCCCGACCTCATGTGATCCATCTGCCTTGGCCTCCCAAAGTGCTGGGATTACAGGCATTAGCCACCATGCCCAGCCTCAATTTAACACTTTATCAAATCACTCCTCCCCTTTGAACTATTTTTATGAAACCGAAAGTGTTTTCCTCTGCTACAAAAGCAGAGGGGTTAATTTCCTTTGTGTTTCTAAAAAGATTTCTTTTTACTAATTATTGATGATTTACAGTTATATAGGAAAGTGCAGGAATTCCAGTAGTTATATTAAAAGGTGAGAGTCTGTAGAGCTATTTTATTAACAGAAATCAAGAAAGTGGTCAGTAAATGTTTATTCAGTCTCAATGAGCATATTCTTTCAAATTGTTTCCAAACTCCACCTATTTATTCTTTCTGTTAACTAGTCTAGGAACTAGTAGTATGAAGATAATTGAAGCAGTATGCTCCAAATAATAGGAAAAAAAAAAAAATCCTTTTGTTTTTTTTTTTTTGTTTGTTTGGGAATAGTTTTTTTTTTTTTTTGAGACAGAGTCTTGCTCTGTAGCCCAGAGCTGTAGTACAGTGGCATGATCTTGGCTCACTGCAGCCTCTGCCTCCTGGGTTCAAGTGATTCTGGTGCCTCAGCCGTCCACAGAGCTGGGACTACAGGTGTGTGCCACCATGCCTGGCTAATTTTTGTATTTTTAGTAGAGATGGGGTTTCACCATGTTGGCCAGGCTGTTCTCAAACTCCTGAGCTCAAGTGATCCGCCTCCCTCAACCTCCCAAAGTGCTAGGATTACAGGCATTATCCACCGCACCTGACCACAATGGAAAAACCTATTTCTCAATTGACATCCTCTCTGTCACCTTCTCTCTCTCCCTCCCTCCCCTCCCCCCCACACACACCCTGTTGAGTTACATGAAAGTATGAGTTATCTTCAGATAATGGTGTTTTCAAAGAAGTTCTTTAAAAATTCATTTAAATATGGTAAACTAGATTGTCCCCATAACTGCTATTTCTGGTTAGCTGTTTTGAATAGAGTATTATTTTATAAAATCAGTAGTAAATTTATTGAGCTTTTAAATCTGAAGCATGATAGAACTTTATGCTATGAATAGGTTTAATAAATATTTAAATGAGTAAATTTTAATAACAAAAATGTATTCAGCATTTTGTATTCTGTACTGTACTGGATACTATCATGTATAAGATGTGATTCCTGCTCTCTGTGGGCTTGTTGTCTAGAGGAAATAGCAGCAGGTGGGGTGTGTGTGTACACAAGATGAATCTTTACCTTAGGAATAGAAAAGTGTTCTGGGTTTGTTTGTTTTTAAGTGAAGGAAGTATTAGTAGGAAGTTAACAGGTATGGGGATATTTTGAGCAGAGGCGTGGTGGTAGGAACTTTTATAAGAACAGAAGTTTCTTATAGACAAAGCCAAAGACGTAAGTTTGGGGAAGGAAAACTTTTTAGAATCAGGTTAAGAATATTCGGTTTTTGTCTATGCTGCATTGTGTGGAAACCACTAAAAATATTTGAACAGGGGTTTGCAAAATTGGTTTAGAAAAATAAAGTCTTATTTTGCACTATATGATAGATTCTTGACTTTAAAGGATTTAAAGTTTTCAGTTTCTTCTATTTATTTCAGAAAGATCTTTAGGGCCCCTGGTTTGTAAAATTTTCATAGAGCTACAAATTTGAGTTTCCTATACTGTGAAAAACTTACAGAGTGATTCTGGAAGGACCTATAATATGAGTGAGGGATGTGGAGGGGTAGGAGGAAGATCTTGAAAAAGCTGTGGACTCATTCATTCAGCAAAATTTCTAGACTCTTTGCCATATTCTCGGCACAGCTCTTGAAGCTTGGTGAACAGAATGAAATGTCCTGTCCTCTTGGAGCTACTGACTAGGTAGCATATTGTCTACTTTGTGTGAGACATTGCTCTATTTTATTTACATATATTAATTCATTTGCTCTTCTAATAACTCTATAAGGTAGATACAGTACTATTATTATCCCCATTTTACATATGAGGTTAAAAAGCTTAAAGAAGTGACTTGTACAGTATTTAAACTCACAGTCTGTTTCCGTAGTTCACATTTGACAATTGGACATCTTCATTTTCTTTCCATTTAATAGAGGCCCACAATATTAGCCAGTAAAAGAGCTTCAGGTGCCAGCGAGGGGAGAATTGGCATGTGCAGTGGCATATGTCCAACCTTTATTTCCTTAGTCATAGGAGGAAAAAAATAGGATTAGTCTTGGTAGAGAAAAAGGTATTAGCAGAAGCATGAGGCCAAAATGAAATTGGTTAAATATGAGAAGCTGCAGGTATATGTTAGTGAAGGAGAGGTCCTAGTTACTGAAAGGGGTCAGAAGCTTTGTGATTTATGTGGTTATCAGTGGAAGCCCAACATACAACTTGGTCCAGCATTGTAGTCTTTATTCATGGTCCATATGAAGGGATTACTCACATTTTGAAGGGATTTTGTGACTCTGGAGAAGAAGGGTTAACTCTGAATTGACTTAAGATAATCAGGGTGAGGGTGAGGGTTAGTTTAGTGCACAGACTGGAGAACTGAAGTTAGACTTGGAAAATTATAGCATCCTTAAAGAAATGGGTAGTTCTTATTTTGGGAAAAAGTCTTTTGGTTTAGAGATATTAAACTTAGGAGATAGAGGATCATTTTCAAGAGAGAAATTTGAACTAGATCTGTGAATTAAAACAGCATCAAGGCTAGGTGTGATGGCTTATACCATAATCCCAGCACTTTGGGAGGCTGAGGCAGGAGAATTGCTTGACACCAGGAGTTTGAGACCAGCAGCTCCTTTCAGTTTGAGGGTAGGCAACAATGTGAGATTCTGTCTCTACAAAAAATTTAAAAATTTTTAGGCATGGTGGCGTGTGCCTGTGATCCCAACTGCTGCATGGGAGGGTTGCTTGAGCCCAGGAGTAAGGTTGCAGTGAGCCATGCTGGTGCCACCTACTCTGGCCTGAGTGACAGAGCAAGACCTTGTCTCAAAAATATAAATAAAATAAATTTTAAAAATAAAACTAAATATCACAGATTTGACATAAGGAAAGCTAATGATGCCTGGTATTTAACCCATAATATTTCAAAAGTATTAGGGAGGCCAACCATTTTATATGCTGTGATCTTTTATAGGAATCTTGAGAGGAGTGGATTCTAGAACTGAAAGATAAATTATATTGAACTGAGCAATTGAAGATAGTTTGTTGAAGATTTTCCTGTTTTTTGGGGCTAGCAGAGTAGAACTTCTAAGATTATTCTGTTTATTACTCTTCATATTAATGAGAGACAGTTGTGGTTTGAAATGAGAGACTTCTTTAATTTGTCTTCAACTGATAAGTGTTTAATAGTGCCAGAAAGTGATAGGACTTTTTTTCTTTTTTGAGACAGAGTCTCACTCTGACACCCAGGCTGGAGTGCAGTGGCTCGATCTTGACTCACTGCAACCTCCACTTCCCAGGTTCAAGTGATTCTCCTGCCTCAGCCTCCCTAGTAGCTGGGATTACAGGTGCCCACTGCCACACCTGGATAATTTTTGTATTTTTAGTAGAGGCGGGGTTTCACCATGTTGGCCAGGATGGTCTCGAACTCCTGACCTCAGATGATCTGCCCGCTTTAGCCTCTCAAAGTACTGGGATTACAGGCATAAGCCACTGTGCCTGGCCTGCTATATTACCTTTTATAGGTTTTTTGGAGTGTATTTTTGCATATTTTATTATGCTGCGGTTTTGTATTCAAGTCAACAGCTACAGCCCCATCACAAATAACAAAACTAGACCTCTTTCATATCCTAGTGTAGAGTATCATCAGGGGACCAGAGACATGGCCAATGATTATAATTAGAATTTTGAGGAAAGCTTGTCTTTCATTAGGGACATCCCAGGCATTCGAGTAATAGGCTCATTGCTGAGTGAAAAGAGAGTAACTTATAAAAGTGTCAGTGTTTCTATTTTATTCCCTTTCCTTTTCCTATAAAATCAGTTTATAATGCTTTCTTTCCATCCAAAGCATATATTGCCATTGTAGGATGCCCTTGCCCCAAAGTATCTGTGCAATATGACTTCGTATTCACAACTTGTCTCTTAAATCCCACTTGCTGTTGAATTCCATTTGCTTGCCAAATCTTTACTGAAGATACTCATTAAATCATGTTTTTCAGAGCAGTGTTTTTGTTCATATCTGGGGAAATCTAGAGTAATTTGTTTACCCCCTTCTTTCTTTTTTAGTGTATGTAAAATGATTATATTTCAAAGTATAAGTGAAGTGAACTTGATACTGGAATGTTTAGGTAGAATTATATTTTCTGTTGAATTACATTTTCTGGTGATTTATTTATTGTTAGCCCAGTATATAAAATAGTCTTAAGGTCTGTCACTAACACTTTTCCTTCCTTCCTTCTTCCCTCCCTCTTTTTTCTTTCTTCTCTTTTCTCTTTCCTTTCCCCTTTCCTTTCAGTTTTCCTTTGCTTTCTTAACAGCATTTCACTATGTTGCCCACGCTAGCTAGAGTACAGTGGCTACTCATAGGCACAATCATAGTGCACTGCAACCTTGAACTCCTAGGTTCAAGTGATTCCCTGACCTCAGCCTCCTGAATAGCTTGGGACTACAGACACACCTCACCACACTTGGCTTATTTAATACCATTTTACATGATCTTAAGCCTTTGATGCAATCCTATTGTCATCGTTTTACAGTGTCTGTCAGATATTGTCAAATACCTGTTACACAGATGTCTTTTTTAGGAGTAATTATCAGAGAAAATTCTGCATTTAAATTAAAATTCTCTTGAAAACATTACTATAGTAGATTTACCCTTAAAACATTGCATTTTTTTTTCATGTCTCTATTATTAAACACAATTATAGGCATACCCATTTTTAGACTGCACTCTAGCCCGGGCACTAAGCAACACCCCTGTTCTCTCTCCCTCTTCCTCTGCCTCTTACTTCCTCTCCTTCATTCTTTTTTCTTTTTTTTTTTTTTTATTTCTTCTTAAAAAAAACAAAAACAAAAAAACATTGTATTAAGTGAAAGAAGCCAGACACAAAAAGCCACATATTGTATGAGTTCACTTACAGGAAGCATCCAGAATAGACCAGTCTATAGAAAGAGTCGATTAGTGGTGGCCAGGGCTTGGAGGGACAAATAGGAGTGACTGCTTAATTGGGTATGGGGCTTCCTTTTCCAGTGATGAAAATGTTCTGAACTATAGAGAATGGTGATGGTTGCATAACACAGTGAATGTTCTGAAAGACACTAGATTGTATACCCAGATGTTTACAGTGTAAATTTTATGTTGTGTATATTTTACCACAATAAAAAAAATTGCTATAGTGATTGTTTATTTTGATGCTATATTGTAGTTTCTGTTCTCTCAAGTTAGTATTTGTGAAAACTTAATCTTCTCTGTTATATTTTGTTTAGGTAAAATGATCCATTCTATGGTAGCTCATTTGGATGCTGTTACAAGTCTAGCAGTAGATCCTAATGGAATCTATTTGATGTCTGGAAGTAAGTCTTAAAGTTCTGTAGTGCCCACAAACTTAATAAAAGATTGTTACTCAGAAACAAACTTTATTTGTTCTTTTACAGGCCATGACTGTTCTATCAGATTATGGAATTTAGACAGCAAGACATGTGTGCAAGAAATAACAGCGCATAGAAAGAAATTGGATGAATCAATTTATGATGTTGCTTTCCACCCATCAAAAGCATATATAGCTAGTGCAGGAGCTGATGCCCTTGCCAAAGTATTTGTATGAATCAACAAAAACTTGCATCATAACAAGATATGCTTGGACAGAAAGAGGGTCTGCATCACTGCCATCAAAAGGGTTACTTATATGACACTACATGTGATCTGCCTGGTGAAGGCTGTTTGGGGCAGGCACAGATTGGTGGAAAACATCTTAATGTCAAGCTCATTAATTTAACTGTAATTACTGTATTTTGTGGGACAAAAAAAAAAGGACTCCAGTATTTGTGGCCTGTACTGGATATGAACTGAGCGTATGTCTGTTTATAGGTGTCTTTAAGCCAATGTGGAGTCTGATCTTTCAAAAAAGATTATATATTTTTTTTTTTTTGACTCTGTGTGCTGCCTTAGGGTTAGGAATGTGGTGCTCTTGTTGGGGGAAGTGAGCTCCAAGAGTAGCTTTTTTTCACCTCTTAGTGATCTTCTGTTCATCAGTTGAATGCCACAGATTCCCCTTTAAACTTATTTTGCTTTAAAAAAAAAAGAAAAAGAAAATTTAACTTAAAATATTTTAGCATTAGTTGCACAAAATGTTTGGATAAAATTCTAGTTTTTATAAGTCTTTTTATATATTTAGCCTGTCACAACAGTGCTCAAGATTGTATTGAAGTTTTTCTGCATTATATAACCCTAAAACACAGAGATCTCACTGACCAGCTGCCCTGTAACCACTTTCTTTCCTTCTTCTGCCTAATACAGCTCAGCTAAGTCTTTCCATAAAGATGCTAAATAACGTTCATCATCACATAAATGTCTTCATAAACCAAGGACTATTAAGTGTATTAAAATGAAACAGTGGGGTTTAGTACTCCAAATGAACTCTTAAAGAAAAAAACTAATCTTGGCATCCTATCACTATGTGATATTTTGTACATCTTACTGTATTTACAAGTTTATTTATCAAGGATTATCCATCTTGCTAATGGCCTATTATTTATTTCACTTTTTGTTGGTCTTTATATCCTTTTATTAATGTGCTAAAGGAACCTGTATATCTATTTTGGAACTCTTTGAATAGTCTAAAATAGACTAAAAATAGAATATTTTATAGTTTAAATTACAAACCAAGGTGGTTCCCCTAAGATACTTATCTTGGTTTACCATGATTCCAAGCAAAACTAACTTGTTCAAAAATATTTGGAGTAAAATTTTATTTGCATTACAAATAGGATACAAAAATAGTTGAATCAGGATACAGAAATCTGCTGTGTTTTGACTAGTTATCCCTGTTTTATTTTTTTAGATGTGCTTAATTTTATGGTGTAATTAAAGATTTTGTTTGTGTAATGCATGATTAAGACAATAAAGTATTTTTTCTAGTCTTCCGAGAAACTTTTCTGATCAGTTTGCGAGTTTTGATGAGTTTTGTAAGGTTTTTGTTTTACAGACTATGAATCAGCAAATTTTTAAGATTGTACCACATAGTAAACGTACAGCTGTTGAAAAAATAATGTATATAAAATGCATATAATAAATATTAAATTGTGTACCTGTATGTTACTGTTGGCTACATCATTTTGTGCTGAATAATAAAGTGCAATACTTTACTCTCCATAATTAAACCAGGAAATGGAGATTTCTTAGTCCTTCATTTTTATGCTGTTCTTTTAAACTTTACTACTTATCGATATTATAATAAGAGTAGATCAGTAACACTATTAATAATGTGCAAGTATTTCACCTAACTTAAAGATTTTTTAAAAGCTTCCATTAAATTATGGAATTCAGCATAACCCCCAAAAATGCACAGATTCAGTTTTAAATAATTTGCTTAGACATCCTGTTACTTTATTAAATCTGAATTTCAGTTCATGGCAGTGTTGTTCCTATTTGCCATACCTGTTTCCACAAAAAAAATTTAAGGAATAAACTACATTGAATATTGTTAGGTTGTTGTAAAAGTAATTATGGTTTTTAGCTATTTGTAATTGTGGTTTTTGCCATTGAAATGGCAAAAAACAGTGACTTTTGCACCAACTTATTAATTAAAAGTTGTTTTATAAAGTCAAACATTAATATTTTGAAACTTTCTTCAATAAGGTAATATCCTTTGTCTTTGAAGGGAATTACAGATGAAATTAGAAGGGAACACTAGAAAAATTACGTGTAAAATTCAATTTGAATGCTTGCTGCTGCTGCTGCGGGGAAAAATTGCATTGTATATTGAGACATTTTGTCATCTATTGTAAAAATCTAAGTGGCAATTTTAGTCATTGATGAAAAACTAAAACTTTCCAATTTTTTTTTTTTTTTTTTTTTTTGAGACAGCAGAGTTTCGCTCTTGTTGCCCAGGCTGTAGTGTAGTGGCTCGATCATGACTCACTGCAACCTCCACCTCCCAGGTTCAAGTGATTCTTCTGCCTCAGCCTCCCAAGTAGCTGGGATTACAGTCATGCACCACCATGCCCAGCTAATTTTGTATTTTTAGTAGAGACAGGGTTTCACCATGTTTGTCAGGCTGGTCTCTAACTCCTGACCTCAGGTGATCCACCTACCTTGGCCTCCCAAAGTGCCGTGATTACAGGTGTGAACCACTGCGCCCAGCAAGTTTTTTTTAAATTATCTTTTTTTGTTTTTCTGAACATTGAACTAAAGAACTAGCAGGGGTACTTTTCTCCTCTTTCTCCTGTTTCTTCTCTTTTGAAATAAAGAATAAACTTTTCCAAAGCTAGTATTGTTTCTAGCAGCTATTCCAACCCAGTGCATTAGTATTGATCTGAAATGTGATGATTATTGCAATGCATAAACATTGACCTATTTGGAGTGTATTAAAACTGAAATGGATAAAAATTAGTATATATATTTATTTTGTTCTTACCTCCTTTGGTTGTATTTTTCTCCAGTATTAAACATTTGGAAGAGACTAAAGGTATGCAAAAAAAAAAGTCTTATTTTCATTATGTGTGCTTCCATTTGGGACATGGGAAATTATATAGATTAATTTCACCATTAAATAGTACTTTATACAAATCTTAATATGTTGACTTTTTCCCTAATATGAAGTTAATCATATTCTGCCTCTCATATTTCATGTTGCTTTTCTCATTATTTCAAACTAGCTAACTTAGCCATTGAAAACTAACATTGCATTTAATGCATTAAGTTATAAATGGGCTAGCGTATTTGAAATCTAAGCATGCCTGCTTAAGTTGGATTGTAATACATCTTTCCTACTGTCTCCTATAGATAACCATTATCTTGATTATGTTTACTTATAAAATTATTGATAGTAAATCAAAGTTCTGATTTCTGCTCTCTTGCTGCTATTCCCTGTTTATGTCAGGTGACAAAACTTTGTCCATTATAAAATTAAAGAAAAAAACCACTTTCTTAAAGGGGCTAATGACTAGTAGCCAGGTTTTCATTAAAGCTTAAGTTTCCAAGAGGTTGTACTTCTGGCTGAGAGTTTTTGGTCTACTTACTGGGGAAAAATCATGTTATGCTAAACCCAGTTTTTATGATGTTTAATTAAAATTATCCTTGTTAGATGATTCAGTCATATTTGTAGCATTTTATAAAGGGGGAGGTTGTCTTCTCAAACTCCATTGGGAAAAATCATGCTAAACCCAGTTTTTATGATGTTTAATTAAAATTATCCTTGTTACATGATTCAGTCATATTTGTAGCATTTTATAAAGGGGGAAGTTGTCTTTTCAAACTCCATTTTCAAATTCAAATTTTTATGTAGTGATAAAGGCAATTCCAGTTGTTTCCCTCTGCATGTTGTCCTTTTATTCCTCCTATGCAGGGTATAAAATTGCAAGACTTGTAAAAGATTTACTGGAGTATGTTCTAACCAGTTAACACCTTTCCCAGGGGGCTTAGGTGGATGAGAGGAGGAGATAGGACCTGTCTTTAGAAAAGACGGACAAGATGGGATGATAAAGCAGCTCTCTGCCTTTTGGGAGAGGCCTTGGTGAGCTAATCATCTAAGTCACATTAAGGGTGTCCTGATGTTCTCCTTTCGCAGGAACCAACTTCACAAACGTTTTTAAGTAAAAAATACAAAACATTTCTGGTGAAACGAGTACTCAGAAGTATCTTACACTGTTTAACCAGGTAGTGACTGTGTATAATGCCTAGAACAGTAAGTATTCAATAAACTTTTGTGTCTTTTTAGTGTGTGTGTGTGTGTGTGTGTGTGTGTGTTGGAGATAGGGTCTTGTTCTGTCATCTAAGCTGGCATGCAGTGGTATGATCATGGCTCTCAGTAGCCTTGACCACCTCAGCTCAAGCAGTCCTCCCACCTCAGCCTTTGAGTAGGTAGGACTACAGGCATGCACCACCAAACCCAGCTAATTTTTTTTTTTTTTTTTTTTTTTTTTTTTTGTAGAGTTGAGGGGTCTCACTGTGTTGCCCAGGGTGGTCTTGAACTCCTGGCCTTAAGCAATCCTCCCACTTCAGCCTACCAAAGTGCTGGGATTATAGGCATGAGCCACTGTGGCCTCAGTAAATAATTGAATGAAATAAAATATGTTCTTGATATTACTGCATGATTTTAAAAAAATTCAGATTGGTGTTATCCACATGAATTTTTACCATATCCTCAGAAGAGACACTTGCAGTAATAAAAGGCAGCTTACAATAACTCACTAGCAGTTTTATTGCTTAAATATTCCAACTACAGTATTTCTTCCTGCAGTTATTTGAAATGTCTTTTTCTTTAAAGCTAAATGTTTATAAGCAGTAAGTACTTTACCAACTTAACCTTTAAGTACTTAGGTAACTTACAGTATAAGCCAAATATATCTATATACATATAAAATTAAGGAGAGAAATAGAAAAATACCTGGCAATCCTGCTCTGATTCAGTGTGATATTTTTAGTCATAAGTTGTTACGAAAACACTACAAAAGCAGTTTGATGCAGGACTCCTTTCTATATACAGATTTTATTGTCTTCAGTAATAAGCTATCGTTGATTGGTTTTAAGAAAATATCCACTTGGGTCAAAATATGTATACCTGAACTATGTTAAAGAGCTGTTTTCCATTTTCTCCTTTCCTTTTTTCTTATATAATCAATACAGAATGGTTAGAGAAGGAAGGTTGCTTTTGGTCTAAGTATCAGATTATTTTATTGAGCTATAGAATTTGCATATCCGTACATTTAGTAGGCATTGGAACTCTTAAGGTTTTAATCCAGATTATCTCCTCTTTTCCTGAGTTTCTAAGGGCCATGATTATGAAGCCTCAGCAGTGTTTTGAACAAATAAAGTACACTGTAAATTACAACCAGAAGGCAGTAGCTTTAAAGGAGTGCTCATTTGCCTAAACGGCTGTTGCCATATTTAATATAATACTTTTGTATCTGATTCTGCTATGCTAAAGTATTTCAGTATTATGAGAATATGATTTATACATTGGATCCCCTTGTACTTTTTCTTTCTTTTGTCAAAATGTTACCATTATTGCTGGGATTCTAAGAAATCTCTACAAATGCCTCTGATAACATCAGAAACAATTGGTTCTAATCCTGTGAACTCTCTTGTGAAGAAAGCATGAGACTCCTTCGGTTTAGAAGCCATATCTTTCAGGTCATCCAGAGGTGCCCAAGCCACACCAACAGAGAAGATAGTGATTCCTACAATGGAAACATTTTAAAGTGAATTAAAAACCAGGTCTACCTTATATTTAGAATTACGTCTATATGTTTTCCATACACTATTACATAGTTGCAGTGAAAACTGATTGCTAATTTCTGAACGATTAAATCACCTGAACAAGTTTTCACAGTCATTGTGACGAGAGTGGCAAAAGACTGGTCCAAACCAGAAGCTCTGCTGTATTTGTAGCTCACCACATTAACAGATAAGTCATCATGACTTATCTTGATAAAGTTCAATATCCATTCATGACAGAACACACCTAGTAAGCTAGGAAAAGAAGAAAACTTTTAACCTGATCCACAGTATCTTTTTAAAAATCTTTCAGTAAATGGAGATGGTGAACATTTTCCCTATGAGATTGGCCTATCATCAAACAGTATACTGGAGTCAGAGTCACAGTACATGAAAGCAAGAAAGAATGGCACAAGAGATGGGATAAGTAAATGGTAAAAGTGTTCAAAGGGTCTGAGGAATGCTGACTAGTCCTTTGGTAATAACAAACCTTCCATTTCTGTCTTTGTATTGGCAAACTGTAATAATTGGAAAATGTCAGTCTATAATTCCAAAGCAAAACTCTAGTGATTAAAAAATACTGCCCAAGAGGTATCTGTGAAACGAGTAATTTCCAGTTTCATTGAGGTATTCTATTTGCATTCACTTGAGTTACTAGAAGGCTTTTAGTACAACTGTACATTTATTTAGGGTGATACTACATTAGTTGGATTCACCCTAATCCCAACTGTAGAAGTTTTCATTTAGCAGATTCTTTTTTTTTTTTTTTTTTTGGCAAGGGGATGGAGTCTGGCACTTTTGTCCATGCTGGAGCGCAGTAGTACAATCGAGCCTCACTGCAGCCTCAACTTCCTGAGCTCAAACGATCCTCTTCAGCACCCCAATCCCCAAGTAGTTGGGACTACAGGTGCGTGCCACCAAGCCCAGCTAATTTTTAAATTTTTTGTAAAGATGGGCTTTCACTGTATTGTCCAGGCTAGTCTCATCTCAAATTCCAGGCCTCAAGCAATCCGTCTGCCTCAGCCTCCCAAAGTGCTGGGATTACAGGCATGAGCCACCACACCCAGCCTCATTTAGCAGATTCTTAGTGTAGGGTACCGTCTATCTAATGCTGGGTGCAATTTTCTATAACTTTTGGAGTTTCTGTAATAGTTTTCCTCTACAGATCTAAGGCTTCATTCCCCTTCTAGTGGTATACAGTACTCAGAGTTGTAAACACATGAGATACACAGCAGGTT